AAAAAAATCCTCACTTCCCTAGATCTGCTCTCAAAGTTTCGGTAAAAAAAAATTTTTTTTATGTTTTTTGGTTTGTTTTTGTTGAGTGTCTTTGTAGGTGTAGTTTGATGCTGGGTTTCCCGTTCCAGGGGACTGCTTTTACTTTTTTTTTTGGTTACTTCTTACTTCTCCTCTTCTTTTGGTCTGGTTAACAAGCTCTATTTATAAAGCTTGTTGGGATTCAAATTTCAGATTTTCTGAGATTCGAATCCCATTTTTCAACTGAAAAATCACACCTACCATCCGTGATTGGTGGCTTGTCGTCGTATGACAGCTATCGGTGGTGCTTTTGACTTTAGGGATTGTGTACTAGATTTGAACCAGATAAGGATGAAGAAAAAAGAAAAAGAAAGGAGAAAGAAGACAAACGCAAAAATAGAGAAAAAAAGAAATAATAATAAAATTTAAATAATAAAAAATAAAAATTTTTAAAAAAATGGTGTTTACAGTTGCCCCTCTTTGTCTATTTCTGTGAAATAGGAATAAGGCAAAGACAAATAAACCACCATTTTGCTTGGAAAGATGAAACATTAAGAAAAAAAAAATTTTTTGGTTCGACAGAAAATGGCTCCTCTCAACAGAGGTTCAATCTATATTTTTGAAAGTTTAAAAGGCTCCTCTCAGCAGAGGCTCAACAACTTTAAAATTTTATGAAAAGGCTCATCTCAGCAGAGGCTCAACGACTTTAAAATTCTCTTGAAAAGGCTCATCTCAGCAGAGACTCAATAACTTTAAAATTCTCTTGAAAAGGCTCCTCTCAGCAGAGGCTCAACAACTTTAAAATTTCATGAAAAGGCTCCTCTTAGCAGAGGCTCAACAACTTTAAAATTCTCTTGAAAAGGCTCCTCTCAGTAGAGGCTCAACAACTTTAAAATCTCATGAAAAGACTTCTCTCAGTAGAGGCTCAACGACTTTAAAATTCTTTTGAAAAGGCTCCTTTCGGCAGAGGCTCAACAACTTTAAAATCTCATGAAAAGGCTCTTCTCAATAGAGGCTCAATGACTTTAAAATTCTCTTGAAAAGGCTCCTCTCAGCAGAGGCTCAACAACTTTAAAATTCTCTTGAAAAGGCTCCTCTCAGTAGAGGCTCAATAACTTTAAAATTCTCTTGAAAATGTTCCTCTCAGCAGAGGCTCAACAACTTTAAAATCTCATGAAAAGGCTCTTCTCAATAGAGGCTCAACGACTTTAAAATTCTCTTGAAGAGGCTCCTCTCAGCAGAGGCTCAACAACTTTAAAATCTCATGAAAAGGCTCCTCTCAATAGAGGCTTCATGACTTTAAAATTCTCTTGAAAAGGCTTCTCTCAGCAGAGGCTCAACAACTTTAAAATCTCATGAAAAAGCTCCTCTCAACAAAGGCTCCATAACTTTAAAATTCATCTTGGAAAAGCTCCTCTCAGCAGAGGCTCAACGATTTTAAAATCTTCATCTGTTTTTAAATTTTAGTTTTCATTTTTGAACAAGTAAATTTCTCTTTTTTGAATTCTTTTGTTTGATCATTGTCTTTACCAGAATCTTGTTTTTTTTATTAAGAAAAAGAAAATTTCTATCTTTGTCACAACTTCTCATGGATGCATGTACTGAGTGCTCATGATGCAATGCATGTAATGCAATCAAAATCTTTCATTGTAATAAAAAGGTTATCGAAATCTCTCACTTTTAGCTTCTTTTATCCGAATTCTTATATGACCAATCTGTCTTCAACATCTGACCATAATATTTTTCTTCAAAAGTCTGCAACATCAATGTCTTGTCATGCTTTTCTCATCTTTTTCATTTGCCTTTGTCAACTTTAAAAGTAATGTTGAGATCTTTCATGTTTGTTTTTCTTTTCATCATTTTAAGTTCAAGACAAATAAAATGCAATCACACATTTCTCTGATGGAAAAAAAATATATCAAATAAGGATAAAAGAAAGGATAGGCATTATTTTC